ATATAAAGGGAGAGTGATGCCACCATCTGATTGATTAGGAAACAAATGCTAGCCCAAAGAAAATGTACAGAACTTGACCTTAATCCTTCCCAACTTCACACTTGGGACACAGTCAAGATTTCTTAGTTGTTAATTGTTTCAGATTTCTTTTTTTAATATAAAAACCCTGTTGGCCTTACGGCATTTGAAACAAACAAACCCCCAAACCAAAAACAAATACTGTGGGTATTAAATTACATTGCAGAAGCACAGTAAAACTCTTTGAATGCGACTGATCCTAGGCAAGAAGAGTCAGTCCTGTAGAGAACTGGTTGCTGTATGGTCTTATTACAGACCACTGTCAAGGTTGCAACCAAATAAGGGTGTCATGGTCACATTTGGAAAGAGAAGGCACAGCCAGAATTAAAGAAAATAAAAGGATGCAGCTAAGAACCTCTTCTTTCCATATACAAAAACATTTTGTGTTCAGCCTTTAAATCATTAAGGCATCAACATTATGTAAAACATAAACCCAACCTAAGGCCTATCAAATTCAGACTTGGACCCAGTTAATAAAACAGGCTTATTCAGCATTTTCATGTAGGTTCTTCTGCCCAGCTTCCTCAGTGGGAATCTTGAATGCTGCATTTTGGAATAAAACCCAGCATAAAGCCCACAGTCACTTACATCAGTGGCTGTTCAGAAGTAAGGAGACAATGCCAAGCTCCCTGTGCCACCAGCAAGAGGTTCTCTTTCACTGCAAAAGCTGTGGAAGTCTCATCTGTTCCCCTCTTGCATGAAAGTTAAAGCAAGGAGTGAATAAGCCCCAGGAACAGTGTGGAGCTTTACCCATAAAAAGAGGGGCACAAAGCTGAGTTACAACATTTATGTCCCTATGCCAAGAGTCCAGCCCCAGTGCACGTCTCTCCAGCAGGCTCAGTTATCCACCTCTTCCTCTTCATTCTGTTCCTCTTCCTCCATTCGTTCATCATCATCATCATTCTCCTCCTCTCGGCTTTTATCTTGTTCCTCAGAGTCGGCCTTCTTGTCTTTGTCTTTTCTTGCCTCTTTCTTCCCTTTTTGCTCTCGCCTGTAAACTAGCAAAGCAAAAACAAACAAAAATAAAGACAGCTGCCTGTATGTATGTTGATGGACACAGTAGGAACAATTCAGTGACCTAGTGCAGTGGTTCTCAACCCTTATAGACTCAAGGGCCCCCTCAGAATGTGTCAGCACTTATTTTTCCAGTAAAAAAAAAATGAGTGAAAGCTAACAGAGCAATTCTTCTGTTGCAAAGGACTCAGTAAGTCACAAGGCCATAGCAGGTCAGAATGTTTGACACTATGGACTTCTAATTGAAATCTCTAGGTTTATTCCGTAAATCACATGTAGATGTTTGCACACCTAACAGTACTAATATTGTACTGCCTCTTGCAGCACTCTTAAAAAGGGATCTTATAGCACCTCAGTTGAGAATCACTATTGATAGTGCTCCTTCCCATGATTTAGAAGCTCTCCAGGTTCTTCTGGCTGACATCAACTGGAGCAGTCAAGCTCCCAGTTGCAGTAACCCACCCTCTTATTTTAGCTGTGCCAGCAGACTCTAAAGGATGTGCAGGTCAGCAGAAAGTTTATGAAGATACTGAAGCTTGCATGTAGCAGGAAGCACAAAAGACTACCTAGACAAAAGTGACGGGGGAAGGTTAGATGAGCCACAAAAGTGCCTCCTCAGCCAACAACAATTATAAAATTACATCACATCAGTGCTAATGAACCACATGTTATCTGTCCCCATGCAGACGTCAATACAGGCTGTGGGGCAGAGATGAGAGACATGGCACACGGAACAATATTGGGCAACCAACCTTCGAAATAAATAGGAGCTCATACTGCTAGTCCTTACACAATGTGAATTTAGAGAATGTTACCTTCCAGTGATTCTTTTAAAGGGGCTACAAATCGCTGGAACTCCATTTCCTCCATGGCTGACAGAACGTCTCCAGCATTCAGTGTTTTTCTCTTTCCTTTCATTGCAAAGTTATTTGCACTAATTGAACAGAGATCAAACAGCAGAAATTGACTCCAGTTACCAGTAGTTTTAAGCATCGTGGTCAACTCGAAACATTTCAGAGAGTGATAATTTTTGTCACCAGTTATAAGTAATGCTTGTAATTGACCAGGAAATTAACTATAACAGATTAAAAACAAACAAACAAACAAACAAATGAACACCAAACCAAAAACAAACAAACAAACACCCTTTGTGTTTACACTCTGCATTTATGTTTGTAGCCAGTTTTTGTTTAGTTACATTTTTCTGTTGTTGTGGCTGTTTCATAGAAGTATAATAGGGAAAATTATTTGTTGGTATAACTGTAAAACTGAAAGAAATGACAAGTTTCAAGGCAGGTGCACTTTTTAAAAAATTGCCTTTAAGAGACATTTGAATGTTAATAGCTTTAGATTTAATCAAAGAGCATAGATGTATGAGAAGGCAAAACTGTCCGCTATGAGACTCAGCTGCACATGGTCCTTGTGGCTGGGAGCCTCCTCTGTTGAAGGGGCTCCCAGCTGCAAGAGCTGGCTTCTTGCTGATATAAGGGGAGCCCAAGACTGGGCTCCCACTGCACCAAGGTAAGGCATCACAGTAAGGTACAGTGTGATACATTGCACAATTCCATAAACATGCCTCCTGCCATGCATGTGTGCAGGTAAAGGTGCTGTGTGATCTAAGTACATGGAGAGGTGTCCTAAGGAATCAAATAAACACTACATGACACACCCAGTAACTTCCTAGTCTGTTTAGAACAACATTCAGAAAGCAAGTCAAAAGACTATGATGGAATCACATAACAAAACTAAAAGGCACCCCTTCATTAAACAGATGTTTGATTAAAAAAAAAAGAAAAAAAAGGCTGGATACTTTTATGATTAATATCACCACTGTTATAGCTACTAAAGCAAACTTAAATGATCAGGTAAATCAACTGTTATGTCTGATGGTTAAAGATGATCACTGGCAAGTTTACGGTAATTCACCACTAACAGTCCATGCCCTCGTGATTAAACACCATAGAAAGCATTTTACAGCAGCAAATATTGTCCACTGGTACAGAGGCAAAGTATTCTCCCAGAGGGGCAAATCATCATTGGCACCATGGTGCTTAATCAAGAAACTATAATGAATCACAAGATTACATTACAGGTTAAGACTGCACAAAGCTTTAGCAACCCTCATATATATTTATTACCAATGGGTATTTCATGAGTAGTGAAAATTCTCCCCCACAAAGTGGGCTAACTGCAGATCAACTAGTTGCTGTTGATCTGATCCACGAAATGCTTACCATGATGTTGCATACAGCACGAACACGCTTGCAGCTCGAGATATTGCACTTCGAGCTTCTTTGGAAATATTTACTCCATCAGGAAGCTGAAAAGAAAGCAGTGTCATTTTATCAGAGGCAATGCAGTTCATACAGGTCAGGAAGCTGCAAGGAATGATTCAAGTTTTGCATAATTTCTGCCTGAAAGAACCAGTACAGTGGAGGGAGATTGAGGGAGAAAAAATTATTTGGCAGCGTGCCTCCCCAGCAGGTAAGTCCCACATAGCCAGGGCCCCACTCAACTTACTCCTGCTTCTGTGGCACTGTCCCTCGCTGCGGGGGCCTTGATAAACCCCCACCCCTTCCCTACCCCTGAGACTGACCTGCTGGGCTAGGGCGTGCACGTGCATGCAGATGGGCACTCGGTCCCCCACCCCCAATCGACTTCAAGAGGCTCTGAGATCTACTGGTGGATCGAGACCCACTGGTTGGTGACCACTGTTGTACAGCCACCAGTTCAGCCAAGCCATGAAAAGACTGCTTGGGGAGAAGTCACCAGCAAGGCTAAAAACCAGTGTCAATTCTGGACCCACCAAACTGCTGAGTCCAAAAGCAGTTAGTTCCTCTAACTTCTCAAATATATAATCAGAAAGACCAAGAATTTAACCTCTTCTTCCAACAGTAGTCAATTTAACAGCTGTCACATTTCAGCTGTAGAGGGGTAGTCCCAAACGTGCAGCATCCATTTATCAAGTGTCTCAGTTCTGATGGTACTTACTGCTTCTTTAATAATCCGAGTGATGACAGCATTGGGCAAATTCAAGTCCTCTGGTCTTTCTGCCATCTTGGGACACCTGGAACTAAAACGAGCTTTATGAAATCACCAGACGCTTTTCTCTCCCATGCAGCTCTGCTTATAAAACACTTGGTCCCGTGACAAATATCACCCCAAGACATCCTTGCCTCTCCTATTCAACGCTCGTCTCATCCACGCAACAGATCTAGCAAGTCTTACTTTGCAAAGCGTCTATAGCAGGGATTTCCTACCACAACCCCCCGTGGTGCCTCGAGATCCTGACAAGGGTGCCACGGGGGCCACGCGGTTAGACGCGCCCGCACGACTCGCAGGGTAAACCCTGAGGGATCAGGCAGGCACCCGCACCTCCGGCCTGTTGCAACGAGACGGTGGCTCTAGCGTTTCCCGGAAGATGAAAACCGAGGGGAGGCGAAGAGGAGGCGTTTTCCGAGGGGCTTCGAGTCCAGAGAAGGCGACACCCACTCACCGCGCGCGGAAGCTCGTCCAACCGAAACGCGCGCCAGCCCTGACCCCTAACCCCCGACCCCTCCCAGCACGCACCGCGTCGCCCGCCTGCCGGCGTAGTCTGCCTCTCCTTTCCCAGCGTGCTCCGCGACCGTCCCTCCTCCTGCGCGGGGTGGTTGCTTGGTTACCCGCGCGGGCGCGGCCTGGGCCTGGTTGCAGCGGCCCCGCGGGGAGGTGAGGGCGGGGGTCCCGCGGCCAAGGGTGGGACCCGGGGGCGGGCAGCGATGGTCGTGGTTAGCCAGCGAGGGGCGGAGGTGGGCGGGGCTTAAGGGCAGCGGGCGGGGCTTGGTGGGGAGGCTCCACTTTGTGAGGATGGGGTGGGCGGGGCTTGAGGGCAGTGGGCGGGGCTGCGGTGTGTGGTGCGGGGCGGTTCCTCCGTATGAGGCTGATGGAGTTCGGCAGGTCCCCAGGGCCTGGGTGCTGCAGGATGACGCCCTCCTCCCCCGGCCCCGTGGGCACTGTCTCCTGCAGGCAGAGAGCCCCGCGGCCACGTGCTGCCAGGTCACTGCTGTCCTCCATTGCCCGAGCGACCATGAAGATGGTGACGGCCAACATGGACCAGTGGGATGAGACCATCTGCGACATGGCTGCTTGTCCGCACCCGCAGTGCTGGGACACCCTCCGCAGGGTGGAGCAGGGGCGACCTCGCATTCGCGCCAGGGACTCAGACATGCTCTGCAGAGTGTCTGTGGAAAGCGAAGGTAAAGCCCGAGACAGCGGCACCACTGGCAGGACAAACACGTTCCTTGCGTTAGTGAATCCTGGTAAAAGTTTCCCAGGAGTTAGCAGATCGGGTTAAACTCCTTTCATAGTTGTACCTTTAAAAGCTGAAAATGACCATTGTGTTGTCTAACCCAGTGGTGCTCAAACTAACGCTGCCACCGCGACCCTGCTTTCAGATCTTTGGACCCAGGGGAACCCTGTGGTGTGGATGACATGGCTACAGGTGACCCATGGGGAAAGGCACTTGGAGAAGAAAGGACAGTTACTTACTTTCTTACTGTAATTGTGATCCTTCATAATTATGTATGCATCTGGATCTGGTGTATGGCAGGTCCCAGCCACAGGGGCAGCTGTGATGCTCCCTGGTAGCCATGCAGCCCCTGCCTGGTTCAGGCTCTAATGTAGCCCCCCCTTGATCACTTGCCCACTGCACCTTGTTCAGTGGGCTTTAGAGTGAGCCTGAATCCATACAAACCACCACTGGGCCCCCTAGTCATAGCTCTCCCCTCAAGCTAAATAGGCTCTCTCAGCCTGCCCTTGTCTCTGCAGGGCACTTGTAGCCTTAAGGCAGGACTGGGCAATTATTTTGGGTGGAGGGTTGCTTACTGAGTTTTGGCATGCCATCGAGGGCCACATGGCAGGCAGCCAGGAGCAGATAAATATTAATTTTCTACATTTTTTAGGGGCCCCGCAGGCTGGATAGAATGGCTGCATTTTGCCCACCCCTGCCTTAAGGGCTCATTGCGTGGCTCCCTCCTTCCCTACACCACACTCCATGCCTTATGGGTGTTATTTTCAATTATGTCACCCGCTGTTCATGATACTTAGCTCCTCTCTGTGATCTGCAGTGCTCTCAGCCCCTCTCTCTGGGCTCTTGGCCTTCTGGGCACCTGCACAGCCCACCTCTGGGCTCCAGGACCTTCAGGTCCCACGTGCAGCCACTTCTGGGGTCTTGGACTTTGGTCTCCCATTGAGTCCCCTCTTGGGCCCTCAGAACCCCTGGTCCCACATGCAGCCTCTCTCTAGGTTTTTGAACCCTGGTCCCAAGCTCAGCCTCCCCTTCCTGCCCAGGCTTGTGGACCCCTAGTCTGGCTCACAGCCCCTCTCAGGCTCATGGGTCCTCTAGTCTGACTCTCACCCCTTCTCTGGGCCTGTGGACCCTTTGGTCTGACTTTCAGTCAGTCCCTGGCTCCTGAGCCTCCTGTTTTCACACTCAGGCACTCTCCATGTCTTTAATGCTTCTTCAGTCTTGCTCTCAGCCCTGCTTTGTGCTCCTGGATTCTCTGACAACATTTCCCTCTCTGGGCCTTGGGCTCATGGATCTTCTGATCCCCACCCTCTAAGCTTCTACACTTTCTGCTGGGCCCCACTCTCAGCCACTATTGGGCTACTGGCACTTTAAGTAGGCCTTGAGCCTGCCCTTGTAGGGCTCAAAGCTAAACCACTGATTCAACTTAATAACAAGGATCTGCAGACACTCAAACATTCTCTGGGTTATAACATAAAACCAAGGCCACCTGCCCATATAACAAGCCTCTCTTTGCCTTGGGTACCTTTCCTTGTTCCTAGCATTTCAGAGTTGCTGCCTTTCAGTCTATTTGGGAGCTCTGTTGCTAAGAGCTCCTCACTTCATGGCTCTCAAAACTAAGCTGCCTCACTGGGTCAGCTCAAGCACAACCTGCTGCTGGTCAGGTGAGTCCCTAATTAACCCCCTTCACCACCTGCAAGGTGCTTCTCAGGAACAGGCACACCCTGGTGCCCTGTTATACCATAGTCCACGTACCTTTCATGCAGCTGTTGGTTAGAAGATCCCAGTTTCTTCTGTGCTCAGGGCATTGTGCCAGGAGTGGGATTAATATGTACAAGACATCTAAAAAATGTCAGTAGCTGTAATGTAAGTCCCTGTCTGTTTGGCTTGAACTTCCAGTCATTGACTTCTGCTATGCTGTTCTTTTCTAAACTGAAGAATTCTTTAGGACCCAGGATTTTTTCCTCATAAAGGTACTTATCCCCCACAAGCAAGCCATCTCTCAGCGCCAGCAGGACCCAGAGTAGGGCATCAGGGGTTCAGGGTCCTGGCTGTCAGGAGCTCTATGGAGCTGGGCCAGCTCCCCCCTGCTCCCTGCTGGTGCAGCCCAGCCTGGCTCCACAGACTCCTGCCAGCCTGTGTCCTGCTCTGGACCCTACCGGTGCTGGTCCTGGGACATTGGTCTCATGATGGTGACCAGGGAGTGGGGCACCTGTCAAGGGGCGTGGCTACCCATGCAGCCCTCAACATTTTGCCAAAACTGGGTAAGCGGCCCTCTGTTCAAAGTAATTGCCTGCCCCGCTATAGTGTCTAAAATGGACATTACATTGTTAAAGTCTATAATGATAAAGCTCATTAAGATCACATCCTCAGTGTAGACAGTATATTTGCTTTTATCTTTTTAGATGAATTACCAACACTGAAGATTATAAACTTGCCAAGCATTTGTTCTTCCCTAAATGTGACCAGATGTTCTACACGCAACAGAACAACCACTTTCTCTGCACTGGAGACCTTCTTCTCCTATGATTCTCTTCAGGGAACTTCAGTCCATGACTTATCTGAGCGAGATAGTTTAGTGAGGTGAATTGCTGTTAAGTTCCCATCTATGGCTGATACAGCTGGTATGCTCCGGATTAAGTGTTTGCAGTGAGCTGATGGCAAATTTACGGCACACTTGTTTTTCTGAAAGAAGTTGACAGAAATACATTTAGAGGCAGCAGTTGCTCTGTGGTATACATCTGGGGTTCCACTTCCGGCTCTGAGAGCCTTCTCATTCGGCCTGTGGTGCTCCCCTTTTGCCAAATTCCTGGATCCATAGGGAGCCCCATGGACTGGACAGTATGGCCATGCATGATGTGGGGTGGCATGGTGCTCCAGGGTCTGATTCTAGCATACAAGGGCCTGATCCAGTGTGCTGGGATAGCACAGGGTCCCAGGGCCAAATTATGGCACACAGGGGCCTGATCCCAGTGTGCCAGGCTGGGCAGGGGTAGCACAGGACCCTAGGGCCCAGTCCCAGTGTGCATGGGCCTGATCCTGGCAGGGGGCCTGCTCCTGGATTAGTCAGGGACTAGGTGAGGGTGCAGGGGACCCTACGGCCTGATTCTAGTGTGCAGGATCATTTTCATCTTTTTTACTGAGCAGAGCAAACTTTTAGCACTTATAGCCCCAGTTCTGCAAATAATTACCCATATGCTTAACTTCACTCAGTGTGAGGGGCAAGGATTTTTTAAGGGTGATATCTTTTATTGAATCAACTGTATAGTTGGGATGAAGTTAGACAAGCTTTTCAGTGCAAGACATTCTGCCTCAGGTCACTGATCACAGGGAGCCAGGCACAGTAAAGACTCAAGTAAGTGTTCTCACTGATTTCAGTGTTGAGGACATGCATAAGTGTTTGTTA